CCCCTCCCCCCTCCCCCCGCCCAACCTGCAAAAGCTCGTCAAAACTTCCCAAGTGGTTGATTAATATACCAATCCAGGGGCACTGGATGGAGTGGGCAGGTGGTGTCTTCATGAAGGCTGGTCTGGAACCCCTGTGGGCAGGGCATGCTTGGCTGGGTGAATGGGATGGGTCTGCGAGCAGGCAGGGCAGAGCCGTGATCTGCTCCCAGCATGGCCCCATGCTGCCACTGCCCCCAGTCCCGGCCTCATCTGCCCGTTCTGCTCCTGGAGTCTACTCCCTGCCCACCTGCAGCCCCATCCCATCCGCCCGACCAAGTGCGCGCTGCCCGTAGGGGTCCCAGGCTGGTCTCCAGGGAGACCCCACCTGCTCTTTCCAGGACCACCAGCAGTGGGTTCAGGGCAAAATGGCTGAGGTGCCCAGGCAGTGGGCTGGGCCCAGTGGTGGTAGCGACACTGCCAACGGCAGCCCGAAGGAGCTGCTGCTGCGAGAGGTGGAAAGATGAGTCTGGCTGTCGCACTGCCCGAGCCCTTCTGCATGCCCAAGAGTGGTGGGACTGGCCGCATGCATCCTGGCTTGGGCTGCTTCCCACGCCTGGGTTGGGTGGAGCCAAGGGATCTGCCAAGGGCTCTATAAAATCCCTTGGCAGACTAGATCTTCCCCCAGGCTGTATTTTGCCCACCCCTGCAATAGGATAAGAGCAAGAGGAAGGTGAGTCTTGGTGAAAAAGTAAACATTGGAATAATTTTAAGGCTGTTCTGACCACAAATAAGGTAACTAGAGGCTAATACAAGCCTCAAGAAAGCCAAGCGCTGTACACAAGTGTATACATCTTTTGTCTTGAATTCTTTTTCCATTAAAGCTCAAGGAGGAATGGTTGGTGCAGTTCATTTTTACTCATTTTCATAATTTTAAAATCACTTCACCTTTGCCCCTCACACTCATCTCCCTGGCCTGACCCCCTCCATCCCATCCCTTCCCTTCGCCTCCAGTGCGGCCGTTCATTCTGTACCGCTTGCTGTGATGGAGTTGACTCTGTCCCTGTGTCCAGCCTCTCCCCATGCTCTGTGTTTGTTGGGTCTGGTGAGGTGTGAACTCTTCAGGGCAGAGGCAATTTGCTGCTCAGCCACTGCTTGCTTGACCCTTTGGCCATGATTATCCTCATATCAGGGCTTGTTGGTCAGGAGCTGGCCTCATGGGGATAAGGACTGAGGACAAAGGAAGCAGCGAGCCACCAAGGGGAGGGCCGAGGCCCCTTGTCTGCCATCCTGTGTCTTGCACTTACTGTGTCTCTGTCCTGCAGAGAGCCTTTGGGAAGAGACGGGTGCAGAGGCATGGAGGCTCCTTCAAGGATGGTGAGTGGTTCTGCTTATCTTGGTCAAAAAAAGCCTTAAACGCGTTCTTTGACTGATTCCCCGCTGCCACCTCAGTGGCAGTTCCACCCTGGGTGTTGGGTCAGAGCAATTTCCGGGTGCTTTCTACCAGCAAGGGGACCAACATGTGGGGGCGGGGGGAAGGGTCTGCAGACCATGTGGGATGCTTTGCTAATGTGTAATAATGGCTAGAGGCAAGGTGCAGCATGATGCAGCAACAAGTTTCTGTTTGATCAAAGCAGACTCGATCCAACACGACTGAGCCTGATTCTGAGGCTCCCCACCAGGTCTGTTCAGTGGAGCTGCTAGGCCTGTACAGTGTCTCCAGTATAAACACTCCCCCTTTTGCTCCCTCCCTATAGAGCCCTGAGGGCACAGCTTCACTGGTGGGGACCCTCGTGTAACTATGTCACATTCAGCACTGATGTGTCACCCCTCTCCACAGCATGCAAGTGCACCTCCATGCCCAACCATGGATCCTGCCCTGGCTAAGCAAAGCCTTGCCCTGGGGGCATTGCAAAGGCTATCAAATGCAAGGGGCTTGGGAGCCCAGCAGGAGCCCCAACTCTTCAACAGGCCTGGGGGAGGGCAGTGGGATTCAGGGGGAATGGGGATTTTTCACAGTCTGGTTGTCATTCCCTGCCTCATCCACTGTCCCCAGATCCCCGGCTGTACCAGGAGATCCGCGAGCGAGGGTTGAACTCCATCCCTCATGAGTCAGATGATGACTTGCTTGAAGAGGACCCCATCCCAGGGGAGCAACCCACTCCTGATACTGCCATTGTGGTGAAGAGCTATCGACCTGCCCAGATGACTTGGAGCCAGCTACCTGAGGTAGGCAGCAGGTGCCCTGGGCCCATGGCAGCCAGCAGGAGGTCTGGGAAGGGGTGTTTTGGGTTGCTTATCTCACTTGTGCCTTTGTTCTACTTTGTTGTGAAGTTGTGCCTTCCAGCTTTGTGGAAAGACAGCAAGCATGCCTCTAATGCTCCAACCAAGCCCGTTTCTTTGTCTGTTGGTTGGCTTCTGAATTTTTTCTCCTCTGGTCTTAAAGTCTCCCACAGGTCATGGCACTGAATATAGGGGGCTGGGACTAACTGTCCTGGACATGGAGACAGGAAATGCTCAGACAGCATGGACTTATTCAGGGCAGTGTATTAATATATAACCAAGATGTTGGCTTAGTTGTTGCAGGGTGGTGAATGTGTTGGGGTTGAAGGTCTCTTGTCTCTTGGAGCTCTTCGGGATGTTCTCGCTGGTTGTTGCCCTTTCATTGGATTAGCAGGGTTTGATTAGTGCTGTTTGCATTTGCATGAAAGCTGGGTTTGAGCTGGTGTGATTCCTGTTGAGTCCAGAGAGGGAGATGAACAGCTGCCTGCTGCAATGTAGGTAGCTGCTTGCACTCACGTGAATTGTAAAGCTTTTAACACCCTGCATAGGGGTAATTAGATCTGTCATGGCCTCACAAGACCATAGAGAAAGGACTTCACTTCCCAATGCCATGGATTCCTGTTTGTTTCTTTCCTGATGTCTCATCTGCCAGCACCCTCTAGACAACCTTTTGGTAGTCACAGCTGCAATGGTAGAAAATAGCTATGGATTTTCATCCATAGCTATAACTAAGAATGACTCACTTGCAGCTTGGATCATGGAACCCTAGGGCTTTGG